GAATTATGTTGAAAGTGCATTTAATAATAATCCCAAAAATGTTAAAAGATCTTTGAACATTAATCTGTTAACTGGTATGACGAAATTTTTCGTCATGCTGGGAAGACTATTTCAATAGGTATGATGAAATTTTTTGTCATGCTGGGAAGACTATTTCAATGGGCATGACGAAATTTTTCTTACATTTTTCTGCAATCTGTCACTTGACCGTTGTTCAAGAAAAATCGATCAATGGAAACACTTGTCCGCTCATAAATTGTGATAACACTCCTAATTTGCATAACTTAATTTCATTTTAGTCTGCATTTCAGTATTTTACATATTAGTAATAACTTGTTGATTTGAGTACTTGTTAGTTTTTTTTTATAAATATGGCTAAAAATTATTGTGAAGCAGAAAATATTTTTGAATTGTCTGAAAGTTACTATGAAATATTGCCCGGGAGGTTTGGTAAACGAAATCGAATTCTAAGAATAAGTACCAGTTCGGAAGAAAGCGATAACGACTTCTTTACTGATGGTCCGGACATTGAATCAAAGGATGATGATGTTATAGACCAAAATACTCAACCGACTTCAGCTGAATGGAAATGTGAAAGAATATTGCGATTGCCTTTCCCGTTTTTATCTCAGTCTAGACTTGCATGTGAAGGACCTGAAGGATTGCCTTTTTTATTTCGAAAAATTTATCATGAGAATTTTGTAGAACTCATTGTGGAACAATCAAACAAATACGCCGGGCAGTTTTTTGAAAAAAATACTTCCATGAAACCGCGTTCAAAATGTTTCTAGTGGGTTGACACAGATGACCGAAAGATGAGAGTATTTATTTTTTTACTAATTTTGCAAGGAATAATAAGAAAACCTTCTTATCAGCTTTATTTCACAAAGCGAGAAAGTCTGGAGACTCCATTTTTTATAAAATTATGTCAGAAAAAAGATTCCAACTGTTAGTAAAATTTTTACGTTTTAGTGATAATGCTTTCAATCTAAAAGTGTGCAACAAAAAAAATGTACACAATCAATTCCATTTTGAACTATTTGAGAAACAAATTCAAGGTGTTATACGTACCCAGATACGGAAATATCTGTAGATCTCTTTTGCTATGGAAAGGAAGACTGTCTTGGAAACAGTACATTCCATCGAAAAGAAGTCGATTTGGTGTTAAATTGTATAAGATATGTGAAAGTAAATCCGGATACATTTCATTATATATACAGGTAAAGACACGCAGTATGGTTCGAACTATCCAGAAGAGTAGGGACCGATCATATTGTTCTTGAATTGTGCCACAATTTGTTGGATAAGGGATATACGCTATATCTCGATAATTGGTATACTAGTACTGATCTATCTGAGAAGATGTGCAGAAGAAAAACATGTTGTAGGAACAATGCGAAAAAATAGAAAGGGAATACCATCTGATATCAAAAATTGTGTTTTGAAAAAAGATGAACATATAGCTAGGTACAGAGACAAAATAATGATTATGAAGTGGAAAGACAAAAAGGATGTAATTATATTGAGTACTATCCACGACAATAAATTTGTAGAAATAGGTGTTGGTGGTGTATTTAATTATGGCAAAGCACACTAGGGTTATCTGCCTAAGGGAAGGGAGGACTTTCTAAGGGAAACTGGCTCGTATGCACGTTACACATGGGGAAAATTACGAAAACACCCATGCAGTCAACCCGTTCGCGGGATTCGAACCTCTGACCGAACTACCAGTGTTCAGCGACTTTACCGGCCGCTGGTGGGCCTATTGTAGAAATAGAAAAACGATATCAAAACCGGAAGTTATCGCTGACTACAACAAAAAATATGGGAGGAGTTGATCTTGCTGACGGACAAATGGAAACTTATGAAATCGCTAGAAACCAAGTAAAAAAGTATTACTATAAGATATTTTTACATGCCCTAGACATGGTGTGTTTGAATGCATATCTTTTATACAAGAAAGATGGCGGTCACCTAGATAGGCTTCATTTTCTTATTGAAACTGTAGAAAAAGGTGTTGAAAAATATAGAGATGGATCGCAGTTGCCATCTACTAGTACAAGACGATCATTTTTGACACCAAAACCATCTTGACTCTTTGAAAAACAGCTTGCAGACTATACCGTCCGACTCCTCAAGAGTAAATATAACGTGGAGATGCAAATTATGCTATTCCAAAGGTCTTAGGAAAGAATCGAGATTTTGGTGTCTCGACTGCAGTGTTGCTTTGTGTATGCCGCATTGCTTTAGGGAATATCATACGAAATAATTGTTTAAATTCGTTCAATTAATTTGTTTTTCCGGATTTAAAATGTTTAATTTTAATATTTAATATTATTACATATTTTAAAACGATTTTCTTTTATTTATTCCCTGCGATGTGCTGAAATTAGTGCAAAGGAAAAAGTCCCCATTGCGATACGATTTTACTGAAAGCTTATTCCCCAGTTAACAGGTTAATAGCTTACATGCTGTTAAATATTACTTGTTATCATTAAACAAAAATACAAGTGTTTGGATCTGAAAATTTCTCTCAAGAGTTCTATTCATAAAGATTTTAGGAATAATTTATCGAGTACATAGGCCAGCTTATCAAAATTCTTTATATTCCATAAAACATATTATCTTGCTAGCAGCCCCTTATTTACAATGCATATTCTAATAAAGGTTTAACCCTCTGACTGCTCAATTTTTGAACCGAAATCGCTTCAAAAATTGTGTATTTTTTATTTTGCATATTTTAAATCTGTATATGTATTGGAGAATTGAAAAATGCATTTTCCCTTTCCAGAAAATATATTTTATATAGATTTTTATCATGAGAAATTAAGCTGTCGGAAAAACCAATTTCAGATGTTATCACCAAAAAAAAAATTTTTTTTAAATAAATTTCAGTTAAATTACATTTTATTTCTATTTATTGCATAATATAAAAAGTAAAATGTATAAAATTTAAGAAAATATAAAGCACTGAGGAAAAAATACCTTAGAAATGCACTTTAGTATATGATAGAGTTCAAGTTTATTGAATCATGATCAGAGTCATCGTTATTTGCGGAGCAGTCCAAAAGATCTATATCATTATCGCTATCAAAACTAAAATCGCTTTCAGAATCTGATAAGTCATCAATAATATACTCCCTGTCAATCGCTGAACGTTTTCTAGCATTTCTGTAAGAAAAAAGCGACAAAAAGTGAAGTTTGAGCAGTGATACCATGTGCCTTCAAATGTCGTAGTTTAGTGGACAACTAATGATATCTTAATTTATTTCAATGGTAAAACGGGATGCGCTCCTTAATAAAAGAAGAAAAACACATGCCCGTGGAAATCGCGGGATGAGTAGATTTTGTTACATTTGAATTGCTCACGGGATGAGCAGCCAGAGGATTAGAAGTCTTGCTAATCATAGCTCACAGGTGAGTAGTGCGGTTCCTACGCAAACGAAATATATATACAGTCAAAAAGTCTAATCCAGACTCGTCGGGACTTCGGCGATTCCAGATTATAGATCATCAGTTTAAATCTGGTAAGATGGCATGCAGAAATTATAAAATTAAAAATATGAAACCGTAATTTATTAAATAAAGAACAATTATGATCTAAAAGTTAACAAAATTTACACACACACACACAAAAAAAAAGAAGCTTAATATTTATTTGTTTATTTTATTAAACATTTCTTTCAACGCGCGCATGTGTAAAGCATACATTACGGACAGTCAAAATTAGAAAATTGCAACCCGAAAACTATTTGATGTGTATTCGTGATATTTATAATGAATTTGATTTAAATCATATCAAAGACATAGTGCATTAAGATGAAATACTACATTTAGTAATAAATTATAAGCCGAATAAAATAAAAACATCTACCCTGAGTATAAGTATAGTGCTGACAGTTCAACTTCCAGTTAATTGCACGCCGCGACGTTCCCCTTCCTTGCAGATCAGCGTGAAATTGATAAATAGATTTCGGAATGGTTAGAGAAACAAAGGATATGCCTTTATCCATATTTTGCAGCAATTCCACTTTTTGTTTGATGGACATCGAAACATGCTTTCGCTTTGTAGATCCTTTGGCAGCTCCAGCATTGGAAATTCTATTTGACATAATCGAAAGTTCAAGCTTACTTTTATAAAATTGCTCATACAGTCTGCAAAAAATAATAAGCCGGATCCAATTCGAAGATTAAAGAACAACGCAATCTGCAACATTAATTGAAATAGATAATTTTAGCTTAGCTTATACCGTCCGTTATACATTAAACGCGCATACGTTAATGACGCATGCGCAGAAAGTTTGTAGCTTTGAGGTCCGGATTAACGACTTTTGACTGTATATGAAATATGGTAACTTAAACTACTCGATTTCTAAAGCAAAGTGATTAATTATTCATTTCTTTTTACATAATGTCTAAATGTAATTATTTTATTTTATGTCTTGTAAGTAAAACTTAATAAACCTATTCAAAAACAGAGGAGAAAAATTCTATCAAACAGTTTTGTGAAGAAAATCTTTAAAGTTAGACTTGCTTATGGATGCTTTACAGGAATGGTCTGCTAAATTTCTGAATCATTAATAGCGGCAGAAATTAAACTGGGATGGTCTGTGAGTGGAACAGAAAATACATGTAATGCATCAAAAACATTTAATATCATACAAATTAAAAACAATTTAGAAGCTGATTCAACAATCCAATTGAAGAGAAATTTATAGCAGTTTAGGAATTTCTAATAAATCTGATGATGGGCACAGCTTAGAAGACAATGTTACTTAGAAAATTTTAAGAATCTGTAAAATTTGAGGACAAAGATATAAAGCTTGCTTGGAATGAGCATGCAATTGAATCACAGAATAGATAGTAGAAAAAAGATCTGAGTCATGGTGCAAATTTAAGAAGAAATCAAAGTTTCATTAGCATTACAAAGCTGTAATAGATCTAAATTTACAAGAATGTGTGGCAGAAAAATTGAAGGATTAAGAAGAAAGAGTACTTACCTTTTTCAGTTTATTACCACAGAGTACCTGCAGTCAGAGAAAACAAAGACATCACAAAACTTCATGTTGCCTTCAATCATCACATGCTAAAGCAAACTGTCATTGAATGAGTGGTTATAGTCAGACATTTCTTTCCAAAACCTGTTTCACTACTTTTAAAATGATGTAAATATGAATTTGTGACTTTTGGAAAAACTATTCGTGGCTCTTGAACTTTTATGAATTCCAACATATAGTTCTTACTTACATGAAGTTTGGTTACCATGCTCTATACTGAAGTGTGGAAACATGACTGTAATATATATTCAGTATGTTATGAAAATGGATCATTTTTAAATATGCTTTAAGCCTAATGTGATATATTGTTGTGCTGAAAAAAGGCAATTCCAAGGTGAGTAGTACCCCAGGTCTGAAAGGATTTGAAATAATCCTGGATTTATGCTGAAAGGAATTCATAGACGAAAATTTCATGAGTTTGGTAATAACAGGCAATGACTTCGATTCTCAGTACCCAGGCACTGGTGAGTAATTCGCATTACATTCTGAATCTGAAAAATATAATGAAAGGAATTTAAAAAATAATGTGCATTTCATCAGTTTTTGACTGGCTGTCTAAGATACTGCGACTCCTTCCCCTTCATGAACAACAATAAAACACACATGGCAATCTCCTAATTTCCATGGGAGAAAAGTACATATAAATGATTGCCAGCTATAATTCTGAAGAAACTGTGTCTCCATAGTCTGTGTCATCCATTTTAAATATTACAACTCACTGCCTTTTGATAAAAAAACTCGAGTATGCATATAACTTTTTAAAAATAATACTGCAGGTTTGTCATGTGCTAAGAAATCAAATCAGATAATGACATAAAATCGAAATGAAAAAAAGACTAAAAATTACCAAGCAGTTATGTGTAAAATTGTATATTTTTGGGGAAAAACAGAAATTGTAATTAACTGTAAATTTTTTTCAGTTTATCAGCACTTTTGTCAGTTTTACTTTCTTATTAAGAAAAGAGCATTTTTAGTAAAAATATATATTACTCAATAAATTATATATACTCAATAAAGAGTTTAAATACACATTTATTATCACTGTAGTATGTCGAAACAATACCCCTATGTATAATTATTATTATTTTTTTTTAATGTAAAAACATTTAAGAGAAATTGGGATATATAATTGAAATTAGGGAGTGACGATCCTCATATTATCCCCGATAATTACATTGTTTATTCAATTTCATTCTCCATTTTCAGTTTATTCTTGATTCATATTTAATGCTTACATTTTAAAATGTTTCAAGATTCATTTTTAAATATCCTTATAAGTTACAATAGCATTCTCACTACACTTACTTATCCATTAGTAAATAAATTATTATTTTATTTTGTAGCTTTTGCACACATATTAGGCAATTTTTATGTGTGTGTGTGATTATGGCAAAGCCTCGAGGGCTAGCTGCCTAAAGGGAGGGATGCCCTTGTGGAGAACTTTCTAAGGGAAACTGGCTCGTATACACGTTACACATGGGGAAAACCACAAAAATGCCCATGCAGCCAGCCCGTACGTGGGATTCAAACCTCGGACCGAACTACCAGTGTTCAGCGACTTTACCGCTCAGCCGCTGGTTGGCCGGCAATTTTTATGATTAATTCAAATGTTTACTTAAATCTTTGATAATATATATACACCCAAAAATCTATCTATTTATTTATGCAATTAAACCAACACTGTTTCATTCCCTTCCCCATCCTATTGAATAAGAGTGATAAGAAGTTTGTGATAACCATGCTTCGTAATGTAGTTCAGGATAACTTTCAGTGATGCAGTTTAATTGTACCCTGGCTTTCCAAGCAGAAGGTACTGACTCAGGAGTACTTTCAGGAGAAAATTCCTGAAAGAAGCATGGATGTTTGTATTTGTCTACTCTCTAGTCTTCTTGGGAATACCAAGGTGCACTCTAGGTAATATTCTTTGGTGTTAAATGACTGGTAGGATTAGCCATTCTTAATTAATGTTTAATAAACAAATGCCTGGCTGCCGAAAAAAGAAAAGAGTCTTATTCTGATAATTTTCAGTGAAGAGGAAAAATTTTAGTAAGCATTATTTAACACTAATATCAATACTTTTGATCAATTATTGATATCTTAAAAATATATTTCTCCTAATTATAAAAGAAAATAGAGCTGTACTGTTTGTTTTTGAACCTAACTTATTTAATACAGTACAAAGTCCGTAATCCACACTTGTCGGGACTTCGGTGATTCCAGATTATAGATCATGAATTTAAATCTGGTAAGATGGCATGCAGAAATTATACAATTAAAAATATGAAATTATAATTTATAAATTAAAGAGCAATGATCTAAAGGGTATCAAATTTTACACAAAAAAAAAGCTTAATATTTGTTTGTTTACTTTATTAAACATTTCTTTCAACGCGCACTTTCTCTACGCGCATGCGTAAAGTTTGTGGCTTTGAGGTCCGGATTATAGATCATTCCGGATTAAAGACTTTGTACTGTACTTTATTTTCTAAAAAATGAATTCACGCAACTGGGGATATTTTTAGGAATTTAACTACTATGTCAAATGAAGAATACCTGTACATCTAAGTTTTAGCAATGAATAAAAATTTCTAAAAATAAAATAACATTATTGTAAAATTACAAGTGAGGACACACAGATATCTTTATGTTTTTCTGGCAGATTAGGGACTGTAGAAATTTAGGGACCAATTCTTTCTTTTTTGGAGAGGAGGGTTTCTTAACAACATGTTCAATAACACTAATAAACTTTCGGGACATATGCATCAGCCGCAAACGTAATTTCACAGCCAGGTGAGTCATATATGAATTGCTATTTAAATTGACACTGAGAATGGATATACCTCATATGAATTTTTGGGTACAGCATTTCATTAGTATTTTTCATTGCCATTAAATATAGGTCCAATGTATAGCAGAATTTATCATGACTGGAAAATGTTGACCTTCATTGCATTGCACTATTTTTTATTTTTTGCATTTTATTTTGGAGTGAATGCAGGAATCGTGGGGCTGAGTAGTGTACATAAATAGCTATTAGCAGCTGATATAAACACCTGCATGTGTTATCAATGTGCCAAAATACTTTGGGCCATATAGGGGTAGACAGATAGTCTATAGTTTTTAGAGGTTTTATTCATTCCTCTTAGAGTATGGCTAAGAACGAATATTTTGTTTATCATTTAGAGAAATAATTTTTATGCTTCAAATGGCAAAATGAAAACACTGTTTAACAGAACATATGATGGAGGAGTTAATTTCTAACAGTAATAACATGATATTTCTAAAAATGGAAAGTAATAGTTGTAGCAGTTCTATTACATAGACATTCACAGACAGAAATCGCAGCATGAGTGCCTTCTACATCTCAGGATAGTGCCTTAGTAGACACATTTTGGGCGAGGACGCTTAAAGATTTAAAACCTTTCGATTTTGTAGGTGCACCAAATATTAATACTGAAAATAATATCAAAGAAATTGATTTTATTATTGTTATGACAATTTTGTAAATACATTTTTAAAGAAGCAAACTGTTTCACCACCCCATCTTCTTCAAAGTAAATGAAATTTTCAGATATGACACCGAAGCAAATAAATGTGTTTCTTGGTTTCATTATTTTGATGAAAATAATCAAAAAGCCCAATCTACTTATTAAAATATTGCTTTCTTTTCATTGTTTTCATACTAGTTTTTTATGAGAGATTTTTATTAATAAAATATTATGAAATAAAATCTAGGACTGTTTGGATGTTTTTTCCACATATATTTATTTGGAATAATTATTTTTTTATATAATTCTTAAGGAAAATATAATGATAAAGTAGTAAAATTCATTCTGACAGCTACCCGAGTATTTCTCTCATATTCCCCAAAATTAGAACAGTTAGACCACAAACTTAATTTATGCAATTTTTTCCCCAAGTTAGGCTTGGGAGCCTGAAATGCCTGTCCCAACAAGAATGTGCATCTCATTAGCATGCCATCCCAAGCCAGTGGTTCGGAGACTGAGGCACGCATCGTGCAAGGGTTAAGTAATACAATTACTTTGGAATATTTTTTCTTTTTGAACGGTAAGCACTATTTTGTCTTTATTTCAAGATTGGCCACCAAGGAAGTGATCATTTTAATGTGGAAGCACCTAATAAGTGGCCACCATTACTTCCTATGAAGGGACATGCAGTTACTACCATGCCTTTTCTGGGATTCGAACCCAGGCCCTTCGATATATCATAGTCGGCTCCCCTAACCACTTCAGAATATGCAAGAAAGCTAATTAATGTAGCAGAATGACAGAATAAATAAAACTTCAACAGAATGAATAATGCTTGCCTTAAACATACGAAAAACAATGAAATAGAACAAAATTATTATTAACACAGCTTTCAATCTTTATCATTTATATGTACGAGTTCTAATATATACAAATAAGGCTTGAAAGAACTGACAGCATTAAGGATATAAATGCTGGTATCATATAAAAATTACTTGCATTTCTAAGAATTAAATTTACACTTAAATATTTTTAAGACTCAAGCAATTAAGTTAGATATAAACTAATAATGTAAGTTTACCTCAGTAAAACCTATGCTAATGAACAACTTCAAACTTCTTTCATTTTTCATTTTTATTTTTGCCACAAATTTTGTAACTTTCAGTGTGTCAACTCCTGAGAAAGAGAAACAATTTTATATATACTTGAAATCAGGGCACGTTTCATCAAGTGGTACTATGAATCTGTATTAAGCTTTTAGACAGCAGTGTATAATTTTTATTCCTATAAATTAAAAAACCTAGAATTCCTATAAAGAAGTATAAAGAAGTGATACTTTTTAGCCAGGCACAAATATCATCAATAGTCCCCCCCCCCCATTTTGACAATACACTTCATCATTCTTGGCTAAAGAACTGAAATGCATACAGTGTTAGTATGAAAAGTACAAACACATTCGAAAAATGAAATACAAACAACAGTCACTCATTTAATTTTAAATAAAAAAGAAATAATTATTCTAATGAGAAGTAACATCATATGTTATATTAAATGTATTTTCTGGTTATAAAGCATTTAATTTAAACATTAAAGCAGCATCAGTAATACACATATGCAGAAATAAAAAAGATGGTGCTTTTCTTTCAATATCATTTAAAATCTGAACCATAAATAAAATTTCAGAGACATTAAAAAAAAAAAAAAAAAAAAAAAAAAAAAAACTTGATAATTTGGATCATACTATAATTGCAATGACTGGCATAAATGTTGAGTAATAAAATACTATTTGTGAAATACAACTTCATTTTGTTATTTTCCACATAAGTTGCATTAGTAGGCAAAATGCTTTTTTTCTTGAAAAAAAAAAAAATTACATGATTTTTTTCTTCCTTTATAGGGAAGTTCCAAACTCTCATCATAATTAAGCATATTGAAATCCTAATAAAATAATCAAACATAACTGTTAGAAATCTGCACAGAGAATAACAGGAAATCATTGCAATGTCAATGATGGCAACTGAAACAATATTTGATGATTTATCACTTGTTCCAAGCTAAAGTGTCAAAGAAGCAATATTATATCAAATACAGCAGAAGATAACAAAAAATGTGCACTAACTTGAGCATATGTGGATTTTAAAATTTTGCTATTTTCAGGTCATATATGAAAAATCTTTAAATTTAAACCAAAAAGAAGCGGGGGACATATAAAAGCAATTTCTTTTTTATTTCTGTAGATCAGGGATGTCAAACTCATAGGTACACTTGGGCCAAACAAACAAGGTTTAACTTTAGGCGAGCCGAAAAAAAAAAAAAAAAAAAAAATAAATTCATAGAAACGTAGATTTATTTCGAATAATACAATAAACATATATATATATTTATATAGAAAAGAACAAGAAAAATTTAATGTTTACGTCCTGATACTTGACATCTTTTCTCTGCTATTATCTTTCCTATTTCGGGAGAAATTTTGTTTGTAGTGATAACTTTCAACGCTGACCCAAGGTGAGCATCATTAATACGGTTTCTAATAGGAGACTTATTACCTTTCATGACTGAAAATAACTGCTCGCACCGATAAGTGCTACCAAACATGGAAATAATTTCATATGCGAATTTTCGAGTATTTTCAAACCTGGCTGGTAAATCAGGGTTCGTAGCCACATTTTAGTTAAAAAAATAAGCACCTATAAGCACTTTTCAAGCACATTTTAAGGAAAAAAATAAGCACCTGTCTAATTACATTACACACAACTGCTTAACCTTAAAAGAAAAATTAGACTTGTAATTTAAAATATGAGCAATGCAATATTTATTAATAGAATGCATTACCTCAACCATGGAAAACAATTAACTTTTTTGGTACTATTCGGTTTCAAGGGCCGTAAAAAATCGCCAAACTATTGTTGATGCCAATGCTGCTAAAAATAATTGCGGCAACCCTAATAATTGCGGCTAGAAAGGAAGTATAATAGTAAATAACTATCTAAGATTGATGTTTTAATTTAGATGAAAAGTTAATTTCATATAATACTTTTTTATTATTATAATTTATATAAAAATTGCTAACATAACTGAATGGATGATTGCATCGCTATTTCGCTACCGACTTATCGTTAAAGCATAATTTCATCTCGTTGGTTGTTCAAACGTAACTTTCTATAATGAATGATGCCTTTTCTCTGAAAATATTCTCGGTAAAGTGCAGAATAGCTCACTTATTTGTTCGCCTCTTTTTACAAGGGTAAAAACAATTGGATTTTTGTCAATTTTCTTTTACTTTTTAAGTGAAAATAGATCAATGTGTACATAGATAAAGTCAAGGGTGTGCGCACTGCCATTTTTGTGCAATTTTAGGATTTTTTTTTTAGTGAAAATAGGTCGATGTGCACATGGATACTGTGTATGTGCAGTTCTTGAAAACGTGTCAAGCAGTGGATGATTCTGCACTTTACCCCAAATTCTATTGCCGATTTTTCGTCATGGGCAATTCCCAAATTGTTAAATCTATAGGATATATATATATTATATATATAAATATTATATATATGTAAAAAAAAAGATTTAAAAATTAATATTAATATTTCAATGGCGTCTTAAGAAATATAGAACTATATAAACTTACGCAATCTGAAATCAGCATGTACGCTAGATTTGGTGCACTGTTAAATGGGCGCATTTGCTAGATTTGGCGCTTTTGCGTATACATTTTCGCTGTAATTTTTTTATGGCCCTCAAAACAGAATAGTACCACTTTTTTTTTTTTTTTTTTTTTTTTTTTTTAAATGATAGTTCAATTTACAGAATTAGTTTACAATGACAGAAAAAAAAAAAACTATGCAGAACTAAACTATGTTACAAGATTTAATGATGAAATTTCAGTTCAAAATATAGAAAATAAATAATAATAAGCCATATTAATTGTATTCGTTTGGCACCTAATAATAAATACAATTGATTTTTCCACTCATATTAATATTAAATAATTTAACTTAAATCAAAATTCTGAACATTTTCTAAATTTTCATTGCATAACAGTTTTCCCTTAACATATATTCCAAGCAAAGTAATTTAAGTAAAAAAGAGGCACATTTCTGAAATCAGGAGATGGGAAATTGCTTCATGCAGTCATCCTTTAATAGTAAAAGCTCAACTAACCTGCATACTCAGAAATTGCCGAATATTCCATATAGTCGAGCGTAACTGGAAAAAGAGGACGGGGGGGGAGATTGTAGCCGTTCTTTAGATTTTTCGGCTAAATAAATGATTTTGACATTTCGATATGTGCATCATATAAAAATAGACCAACGGAACTGAGAAATATTCTGCTTAGAAAGCACAGTAAAACTCTTTTAAGTGTTCATAAATAAATCTCAGACTGAACATCAAAATTAATTATCTCTGCAAAATACCGCAAGCGTTATTGCGCAATACGTACGGCGTAATTCTTCCATACGTGATACTACGCAATCGGAATCGGAATGAACAGCTGCCAGTATTCGGAGAATAAAGAACTAAATAAAGAAAAAGAAAGAGACTTACTAATCTGGGGTGTTTTTGATTCTAATTTTGAACAGACTGCGTTAAATTTCCGGAATAGAGTCATTCTTCGCTTGGGTTGGGTAGACCGCAAAACTTTTAGTCCTATTCAATCCAGATTGGACACTGACAAAAAAGTCTGCTGCTTCAATATTAGAGATTTTGCAGAGAAAGGGGAGAACCTCCCAACCTCCGTACTGTATAATTAATGTACCAGGGGGAAAAAAATTTTTTTTGACTATTTGATTACTTTCCTTTTATTTAAGCCATTCCGAATATTATTCTTTAGAAAGCTAATCTGTGTAAAAACACCCCATTTTTGGAAGTTTATCTATACTTCAGCAGTTACTGCAACTATATTATTATAAATATTCATGCATATGTTCATAATATAAGCATAACGATCATAATAAACACGAATATGTACTGACCACGCGGAACGAGATGCAAATTATTAAATTCGGTAAAAGTTTACAATTGGGCGTCCCTTGTTTATTGGCGATTATTTTTTTTACGCCAAGATCGGCACCAAGAAAGCGCAATTTCAAGATGGACGCTACACGAAACCAAAATAAGAAGTCAAAGAATTGCACAAACTCTGTGTCCATGTACACATCGATCTTTTTTCACTTAAAAAAACATCCCAGAATTGCACAAACTAGGCATTGTGCACTGTTTTAAATTTGTCCATGTACACATCAATCTATTTTCATTTTAAAAAAATCAGGAAGCTAAATATTAAAACTATCATGGGAACCAGAAATGAGTTTTCCTCACCAAAATTTTTTAAAAATTTGTCACTAATCGAAGGGGCACCCAATTCTACACTTAAATTCTTGATAGAAATTCAAACGTGTATAATATTTGGGTGGGAGGAAAAGAATACCGAATGTACCGGAATTGTCTACAGTTTTCGCAATTCTTTAACCAATAGCACGACGTGCACCTGTCTGTACTCTCGCACGCGCCATAGGTTACGTTAATGCAGAGAAAGGGGGGGAAAGCAATTTCCGGGAGTATGATTCACCATCTGACGTTGCATACAAGGAAGAAAAGTTGTTTATTTAGTTTCGGCTTTGGTACGGGGAAAAATGCGCGTTCATTTAAAAAAAAAAAAAAAAGCACTAAAAGCAAAAAATAAGCACTAAAAACAAAAAAATAAGGGCTTTAAAAAAAGTAAGCACCTATAAGGGCCTTTATATTTTATTTTCAAATATAAGGACTTATAAGCACTTGTAAGGACCGCTACGAACCCTGTAAATATTTGTAAAATTCAGGCATGCCCACTTCAATGAATTTTGCTTTCAAATTTGAGTTGCATTGAATCTCGATCACCTTCATTTGCGTATGGCTGGGTACTGAGTCAATACTTATTGAGAAAATCGAAGGGAAAAAAAAAAAAAAAAAATTGTCTTCGAGGGAACTAAAATCATTAAACCTCGTTTCAAATTCAGTTGTTAAATTTGCAATTTTTCTGCGTATTTTTGATACGAACAAGTATCATCTAAACTTGATTTGTTCATGCTGCACGTCGGGAAGTGCGTCAAATCTTCATTTTTAAGTTGTTTTTCCCAAAGAACTAGTTGACATTTGAATGCTTTAATTATGTCAAACATGTTCGTAATGATATGATC